AGGGGGCGTCCGTGGTCGAGTAGTTAAGGTCGTTGACTTCCAACTACTTGCCCCTCACCGCTGTGGGTTCGAATCCCGACAGGGACTTTGGATATTTTGATGTGGGGAAGCTATCTAGGTAGCTTACGGAACGTCGGTGGTTCTACTCAGGTGCCTATTCGTGCCTAAAATAATGCCCAGAAGGGCACCTGAGAAGACCCTCCACCAGTAAAGCTGGAACGTCGCCATATGACCTATACTGTGTCGGTGTGACATAAAACCCAATAATACAAACTAAAAATCACCCGATGCTGGGGGGGGGGGTGAATTCCACCCGTTGAAGGTATGCAGGATGGTAATCAGAATTTACCAATAACCTCTATAAAAAGGCCCATCCTCTGCAAGCTTACACCATTTGACAGCGTTGTATAATATTTCTGTTCAATCAACAAGAACATCATTTCTATTCTTAAAACTTAATATCTTATGTATTTCTTACTTTCATTTTAATGCATACATCTTAAATAGACTTTGTGGGCCTATTATTCTTTTCTTTGAATTCCTAATTAGTTACAAGTTATTTGTCATTTAATGATTAACCTGTCCGTGCTCTGTCTTTGCCCTGTGCTGTTTTGTTTGGGGTCCGCCTGGGCTCATTGCCATTGGTTCTTGTTGCCGGGTCATGTGGGGGTTGCGTTCATTGAGCGCCGCCTTTCCTTGTTGATCTTGTTTATCATATTTTTTACTCTGGGATTAAGAATATTTGGGGTTTCCCAGCTAATCTGTGGGTACAAACAAAAATTTTACAGTAACAGCTTCGAAAATAAGCGAAACAGGTTGACTTATCTATTGCAACGGGTAGTGCACCGTGAAGCTATAACGGTAACAGTTAGTTTGTGCCTACAGATTAGCTGGAAAAACCCACATTGCTGAGTTCCGGATAACGTCTATTTAATATCGTATGATCGCGGGCTATAACATTCTATTGCAAGGAAACTAACCATTCAAGCAACGGTCTTTCCATAATCGATATAATTTTATCACCTTTCCAGTGACTTGCTTATTACGATTATATTTGTTTCTTTCAGTTCAATTTTGACACCACAGAATATGAAATATGAAAAACAAGAGCAACAAGGACGGCACAGGTAAAGCTACTTTGCTTTGCTGTGCATATTTTATTCATTTAATACACACGTGACCAAGACGTTAAACACCGAAAGTACTTAGTATATGTTAGCACTGTATGAACGCTTTCTCTCTTCAATAAAACGCCTGATAATAAATATATGTGTTTTGTGGCAGAAAAGGTTATGACCCTTACTGCATGGACAGAATTGTTTTTATTTTCGTCTTCTGTCTTGCTTCGTGGCTTGATACCATTACGCCCGCCGATGGGAGGGGGGGATATCACCGTTTGAGGTATGCAGGATGGTAATCAGAATTTACCAAAACCTCTATAAAAAGGCCATCCTCTGCAAGCTTTACACCATTTGACCGTGTATATTTCTGTTCAATCAAAAGAGACAGTGGATTTCAATTCTGACTTAATTCTTAGTATTCTTACTTTCATTTTAATGCATAGCATGTGAAATAGTTGTGTGGGTATTTTCGTTTCTGGTTGATTCCTATCAGTTAAAATTATTTGTCATTAAGATTAACTTGCCCTGCTCGTAATCTTGCTGTCCTGTTTTTGTTTGGGAGTCGTCCTGGCTCTGCAATTGTTCTATGGCTGGGTCAAGAAATTTGGGGGTTGACAGTCATTGAAGCGCCGCCTTTCCTGTTGATCTGTGTTTATCTATTTTTATTACTCCTGGGATTAAGAAATATTTTGGTATTCCCAGCTAATCTGTGGGTACAAAACAAAATTTTTACAGTTACAGCTTCGAAATTAAGCGAAACAGGTTGATATTATTGTAACGGTAGTGCACCGTGAAGCAATAATTTCGGTAACTATTATTTTTGTGCCTACAGATTAGCTGGAAAACCCCACATTGCTAGAGTCGGATAACGTCTATTTAATATCGTATGATCGCGGGCTATAACATTCTTATTGCAAGGAACTAACCATCAAAGCAAAACGGTCTTTCATAATCAGATATAATTTTTATCACCTTCCAGTGACTTGCTTATTACGATTATATTTGTTTCTTTCAGTTCAATTTTGACACCACAGAATATGAAATGTGAAAAACAAGAGCAACAAGGACGGCACAGGTAAAGCTACTTTGCTTTGCTTGCTGGTATATTTTATTCATTTTAATACACACGTGACCAAGACGTTAAAAACACCGAAAGGTACTAATGTATAAGTTAGCACTGTATGAACGCTTTCTCTCTTCAATTAAACGCCTGATAATAAATATATGTGTTTTGTGGCAGAAAAGGTTATGACCCTTACTGCATGGAGAGAATTGTTTTTATTTTCGTCTTCTGTCTTGCTTCGTCGGGCCTTGGTAGTTGATATTCTTGCTGGTCTGTCTTATTCCTTTAAGACAATGGCTACTTTTGTTATGGTCATTTGGTTTACGTTTTATATGTGTCTACATAAGCGTATATGTGTTTTACTTATTTCACCTTTTGGTACCATAACAACTGTTAGAATTTCGCTTGACGGTGATTCATTGTACTTATACAGTCTCGTTTGGGGCTTAGAGTGAGGTTAAGTGCAGCATTTACCGGGTTAACCCCCCGCCAGTGCTTATGCTGCTGACCGTTCCAAGGTGGTGCCCCTCTTGTGTGTTCCTCAGATGTATGTCTTGTTTATTGTTACATGCAATTGTGGTGACACGTGTCTGTTTTATTGTCAACGGTAAATATCTCCTAATTTTCATCTTAAATCACCTTGTAGGTTTCTATGATTTCCTATTTTGAATGGTTTTTATTGACATCCCATCCGGTTTTGTGTGCCCTGTCCTGTTTGGTGTCACGCTGGGCTCCTTGCCGGTGGCCCTGTGTTTCGAGATGCGCACATTCATTGCCGCACTTGTTTGTTGATCTTGTTGTTCATATTTTATAAAAAGACTTCATCTCAGATCAAATATGTGAAAGTATTAACTTTCGTCAGTCACCTTTCTTATCACTTTACTTTGTGTGTCTCTTTGTTAAAACTTATTAATTTATTTACTATTTATTTTATTTATTTAAAAACATTAAAAATCTAAGTTCCATATTAGTTTTATTCTTACTTAACTAACAAGTTGTCCCAGTAAATACTATACATCTTTTTTACATGTATAAATGAACTCGTATTTAGTTTATAAGACTATTGAATAAATATAATAATTGTGAACAATGTGAATAACCCTTTAGAATGTATTATTGATGAAAAATGCCGCAAAACAACATTTTTTTTCCAAACGAATGTGTGAGGCCATGTTTTAACATGGAAAAACTCTCGAGTTTGCCTAACTCCATTTTTTTTCATCATTTTCTGTTAATTGTTTTTTCACCCCGCCCTCCCCCCTTTGAGGCCTCAAATAGACCCACTTTTATGGCGTTAAAAAAGGAGATCAATTTTTCGGCGCCATCCCCTATCAAATAGATACGTCAAGGGGTTGCAGAGAAAATTTGGACTTGGGAGACTAAAATGGCCTCAGGTCGAGCTTAAGGTAACGTGTAATCAACGCTGAAAAGCTTTTGACTCTATCTTAATCCACTGAGAAGTTGAAGTTGCAGCACTTTGAAATCAGTTTTGATGACATTTTTGAGATGTCCCCTTGTTGCCATGGTAACACGAAATTGACGATTGAGTATGCCGTTACAAAGGCTATGGTCCATTCAACATTTGTGCAAAGTGTTAACAGTATAGAAGTATTTTATAGTTTCACAGCATTTTGGCCTTGTAACAGGAGGCTTTTCAATGTAAACAGCCATTTTTCACAAAATGCTCATGAAGTAATGGGTTAAACATTTCCTCACAAGCTTACATTTTATCTCACTTGAGCACAAAGTGCACAGAAGAGATATTTTGTAATGGCAGCGTGTCCGTCGTCAGTCGTTGTCCACAGTATCTTTAAACAACATCTCCTAAACAACTCGATGGATCTTTACCAAACCGGTGCCCAAAGCTTGGATATATGATATGTAGCATTGCCAAATGCAGCTCTACAGAAGATATATAAATCATGCTCATTGGGTCAAAATTAGTCCAGCCCTGGGGGTTACTTAGTTATTATAGATTTGTGAAATATAAAAAAAACAAGATCACCAAGAAAGAGCGGCGTTAACATATGACTTCTCTTCAGAAACTGCAATGTCCAGAGCTTAGATATTTGGCATGTAAAAGCTTTATAAATAATGCCCCTGATGTTATTTGACCCCGCGTTTTGGGGTCACTTATTTTATATAGACTTGTATAAGTATAAGAAATACATTTAATATGAAAAACAAATCAACAAGGAAGGGCGGCATTCAATGAACGCATCACTAACATTGTACCACTGGCAAGGAGCCAAGCGGACATCAAACAGGACAGGGCACACGTGCAAAAAAAACAGGTAGGCATAAGATGAAAGACAATTCAGTCCCGATGGGTTTTAAGTACTATACATTATTGAGTCTTCCACTTGGTTCGTCAGATGTAATCCTTAGAGTGAGGCGTACTGTCCAACCGTAAAAGGGTTAAACACTAAACATGTGGATGTCTTAAAATACATGTAGTAGGGTCAAAACCTATTTTAATGAAGCTTTAAAATATTTAAAAAAAGAAAGCCGAAAGACCCAAGATCTCTCGAAGTTTGTAAATCACATTCGCATAAAAATCAGGCATAGTAATGCCTAGTCGCAAAAGAGTTTTTTTTCAAATTATGAAATTATGTCGAAATTTCGATTATAACATTTATAAACTATGATAGCGGTAGCCCTGCTTCAGAAACTTGCTGGTTATGAAAACATTCTTACGTACCTCCAAGCTCTAGCGAATATAATTAACTGAGATAAGGTTTTACATGGGGTTCGTCCATTAAAATGTAGATAATTCAAAAGCAAAATCAAAGTCATTTCTTTTATTATATTATAGATTTTTATGTGAATAGTATTGTTATTGATATTTAAAAACGAAATATTAAAATTAAAATATTAACATTTTTAATGCAAAGTCAATCAAATGCTGAAAAGTCAAATCTTGTAAATGTTGCGGAAAATCAATAAAAATGTTTGTTTTAGCAGAATTTAATTGAATATATTCTTGGAAATATACGAAAGCTTGGTGCGGAGAAGAAAACAAAGTGATCAATACTTTTTTCATCATTATTTTAAGTGTTTTAAGGAATGGATTTTATTACAATCAGCAAACATTCTGTACGAGTTTAATAAAGTATCTAATAAAATTACAAAATTGGTTTGTAGCACACTGTCAATCTTATGTATCTTATAAAATATTCTAAATTGGGTGATTTCAAACGTCTTTTTTCTAACTTTACAAGTATTGAATCAATATTTTATTAATTGTCAATAAGTATCTTAATATAATTATTATTCATCTTTTTGCAATGCAAGTCCCTTTGTTAATATAAAAGTATATTGAATAATGTAAAATACATAAAACTAACTGTATGTTACCCTTGCACATTTTACAGATTCTGTTCTTGAAATTGGTTGAGAAACATAACAAGCGAACAATCAGAACTTTAAATGATGCGAATGTAACATAGTAATGTACTGTGAACGTAGATAAATGATAAAAAAAGTCAAAAAAATCTTTTAGCTGCATGCCTCTAGATGAGCCAAAATACTTCAAGAAAATCCAACTTGAGAACAAAAATGTATTAAGATTTTTAAAAAAGTAAAACGATTTAAGATTCAGGTAATAATTCACATGTTACGTGCGAGTAATGACTGAGTTTGCAGTATTTTCCCTTCTACTGTGTGACTAAAACAGAATTATCAGTCTAAATATAGTCAAAATAATATCAACAAGAAAACGTTAGGAAAACTGACTGCTGTTTCTCCTGTATAATTTCAAAATAATTAGTTATAACCTATAAACACATAATTTGTAGATAGAAGAAAATTTAAAAGTAAATTGGGTTTGACTATTTATCACTTTGAAGTTTTCATTTCTTCTTTCCTGGCCCATAAACACCAAATATATTTCGCTGTGCTGTAAACAAAAAACACTACATTTAATACAACAAAACATAAAATTGAACTTACTTTATCAACAAAGTTGAAATTATAATGTTATAGACATAAAAATAACACTTTCTAAGAATTTCTTAAAGCGAACAAAGGCACACTTTTGCAAATAGTAAACTTATTCACTAACAAATGAAAATAGCCACAAAAGTTGTTCATACATCTGAAGAGCAACATTATTCATAAAATAAAAGTTTATTAGACAAAATTATATGTAAAGAAATATAAAAAAATACCGAACAGAGCTCGAACAAGTCTTGACGTAACAAACAATCTTGACCCATATCCTGCATCGGTCATATGCATGAAACGGTAGCGCCTGTCCCTCCTGAAATATATGTTAATAAAATATTCTTATATACGTATCTTTATAGATACGTTTGCTTCACATCCTAGAACGTGAAATGGATTAATCCCACATAGTTTATCGTTACTGACATATTGTTACATTTATACATTATGCATACATCTATAGTACAATTCTTGAACATGTTCTTTTAATACAGTAAATAGATACAAATTACACGAATTAATTAGAATGATATTCATAAATGATTAAATGCATTTATAAAACTTAAGCACTTTATCACAATGAAAGCATATCTATTAAATTAACTACAATGTCATTTTGTAGTTGTTACAAACAATTGACGTGTTATAACGGTATGGTATTTTAGAAAACATGAAAAACAAGATCAACACGGACTGGAGGCAATCAATGAACGCATCCCAGTTTAATGTTACTCATATTTTTGACAAATGAAGTAATATTGTGTCATATATAAACATGCCAATGTTTTGAAATGACTACATCACATACATTTCTGCAAATATCCCTTTTTGATACATCAAACCTTTTAAGTTCCGTAGGTAATACATACAAGATTCATAAAATGTTCGTTTGCAAAATTATTAATTTAGAATAAAATTTATCACCCTTGGTAACGTTAGGTAGATCTAGAACAAATATTGTATCCATATACATGAAATAGTTCTTTCATGTTCAAAATGACTATCATCTTCAAATAACTTCAGTTTAGGACCTCAAACTAAGTTTAGTATTAAGGGAGATAGGTGTGCGAACTCGTGTACAATATAAATGACCAGAATGAGGTTAGGACTAGGTCACTTATCCACTAATGAATTGTATTATATGTGTAGTATCTATAATTACCGAGAAAAACGTTTTAACCTTGCCGGATTTAAGAAATACTGTCAGCGTCCTTTTGTATTTTTTAATTAAGGTTTACTTTAAGGTGTAAAAAAGTCATTGTGAGAGTCATTTCTTATTAAAGTGAGCAGAAATAAATATTGAATATAGAAATAAAAGCAGAATTTAATACAATTAAGAGACGATTCTTATAATGTTAAATACATATATTTTGTTGCATTTGAATATCAGAAGAAATTAATAATCTGATGTTAGATAAAAGAAGATTACCCCATAGACCATGGCTTGTAATCTGACATAACACCGGCCCGTTTTAACAACTCTTCTCCAGAAGACCTGAAATAATAATAATAATAATAATAATAAAGACTTTATTTAACGAGAGAACTCATTTGAACAAACATATCAATCTTCCATGAGGCCCTCAACAAGGAACAATATAAATTTAACTTTTTCAAACTATTAAAATACATAAATGTAAAAACATACAGGAGATTATCAATTTGTATACATCAATGCGTGATAAAACCTCAAGTATAAGGTTTTAAAATGGTTAACAGATGTAGCAGACTTAATATAATCAGGAAGGCCGTTCCAAATACATGATCCAGAATAAACAAAAGACTTACGAAATTGTTCAGTATTTGGTCTAGGGGTATAAAGTTGAAAATCAGATGATGAACGCAAAATGCGAGTATGAACATCTGACGATAAAATGAAATTATTCAATAAATAGGAAGGCGCCTGATTATTTATTATTTTAAACATCATAATAGCTTTTTGAAAAACAACCCTCTGTGAAAAGGTCATCCAGCGGAGTTCAGAAAAAAGTTCAGCCGATGGAGTGTCATAATCTTTGTCTAGAATTAGTCTTGCAGCTCTCTTTTGGAACTTAATGAGTTTATCTTCTAGAAAAGACGTACAGTTACCATAAATTATGCAACAATAATCAAGATGTGGTAAAATATATGCATTGTAAAACATTTTACGTACAGGTATAGATAAGAATAATTTTATACGTGATAATAAATGTAACAATGAGTTACACTTTTTAAGAACATTATCAATATGGCTTTGCCAAGACAAGGTGTTATTAATTGTAATACCCAATAATTTTTCTTCAGATCTACAGAAAATTTGCTCTGTTTTATATAAAATACAAGGATTACTTTCATGAATATAATTTTGCTTGTGTTTTGAGGAAATATACATGACCTTAGTTTTGTTAACATTGATAGACATGCGATTCAAATCACACCATTTGTTGGCATTTAAAAGATCATGAGTAAGAGATTCAACTACTCTGTTTAGGGATACATCAGAGGTTGAAAGGGTGGTGTCATCAGCAAAAATATCAGTTTCTGTTTTTTCCATAGACAAAGGCAGGTCATTGATATATATTATAAACAGTATAGGACCTAGCACTGAGCCCTGAGGAACTCCAGTAGTTACTGAACTTGACTCTGAATATAAACCGGATATGTAAGTTTGTTGGGTTCTGCAATCTAAATAGGAGGAAAACCAAGCAACTGATGAAGGGTCTAGGTTATACATTCTAAGCTTTTCAATAATAATAGAATGATCCACAAAGTCAAAAGCTTTAGAGAGATCAAGGAAAATTGAACCAACTATTTCATTTTTGTCAATAGCTGTAATCCAATCATCAATAATTCGAATCAATGCTGTTTGACATGAATGATTTGACCTGAACCCAGACTGACGTTGGTATAGAAGTTGATTTTTCTCAAGGTATAGCTTTAAATGTGAACTGACATGACGTTCAAGAATAAGTGATATCAAGGGAAGTATGGAAATTGGCCTATAATTTCTTTTATCACTTTTAGAACCCTTTTTCTGTATAGGAATGACTTTTGCATTTTTGAATGATTTAGGAAATGTATTGTTAAGAATACTGTTATTGAATATAGTGGTAAGTATGGGAGCAATAATATGAGCCGATAACTTTAGAAACCTTGCACTGAGACCATCTGACCCACATGACTTTGTAATATCAATCGATTTTAATTGGTTCAACACATAAGAGAGCTCTATTTTAGGTATTTTGAAAGGGGGTATATGCTGAAGTTTAGATGCATTTAGTTCAACTAGCTCAGGATTTTCATAACCAGTCTGATTAATGGTATGATGGGATTGGTGGAGATTCACAAATTGTCTGTTGAATAAATTTGCAGTGATTAAAGGGTCAGAAACCGGGTTGCCATCATCATCATCAATAAAATGTGTTTGAACCTTGGATTTGTAACCAGATAATTCATTAATATGTATAATGAGAATTTATATATAATATGTATGTTTAGGTACTTGAATGTATTGTTATGGCAGCACAAATGCAAATATACATAAATGACAGAATACCGACATAAGAAAAGCAAATATATTAGGTATCAGTACGTTATCGGAACATAAGTTTAAGGCATTACTTGGATACTTATACATAATAAATTGTCACAGGCATAAAGATACCCTTCAAGTCAGTAATATGTAAGAGTTACATATATATACAAATGTTTTATGACTAAACACAACATCTTAATGACACGCGTGACTGGTATCGAACCTCTGTAAACCGTTATAAACTGTATTTTCCTTTGCAAAATGCAACGGAGTAAGAATTTCAAGTCAGTATTTATAATACCTGTCTTCAGAAATATAAATTTTATAATCTCGCCTTTTTATCGTTGAGGAGCATAAACTTGAGACTCGAATATTATTTAATTTTGGCCAGTTAGATACAGGTACTTGTGACTATAACCCACTGATTATAGCTGATTTGGAAATGGTTCAGAATTACGAGAAACACTATATTAATATCCCATTAACATGTATGTAAATACTTTCATTTATTATTTTGTTTAGACATTCAGAAATAATCTTATATGTACAATTATTGTTCAATCAGTGTCTTAATTTAAAAAAAACAACAGTGAGCTTGTCTAAAAATAAAGTGTTGTTTGAAAATTGCTTTCTGTATTTAAGATAACTGCGTTTAAATTAATGCAAAAAGCATGATCAGTGTGTGTCTTTAATTAACTTTAAACAATAAAGTCCAATATGATCATAATATAGTTTATTTTCTCTGTTCCTGGCTAATTGAATCAGATGATGTGTTGTCACCTTTGAGAACAAATGGGACATGTAGGGCATATCCCTGGAGATTAAAAGACTTGTTACAGTGTAATCAAAACGTTAGAAGCTGTTGATGAATTAACACATTCGATGTAAAACTTCAAATTCCGATGAAAAACATTTGGCAGATATTAATGAAACTTGTTATTAGAAATGAGGAAGCATTATGAAGAAAACATTAAAAACATTTTAAATCACAAAAATATATTTTGCAGCGTTCTTTTAGAAAATAAAATATCTGGTAATGCGATTGAAAATATCTGCGCAACTAAAATGTAAAGGTGCAATGACACAAGGAATGGTAACCTTCAAATAAGGAAATAATTAAATCAAGAAAATAAAATTACTCACTCACGCGCTCGAGCACTCAGAAAGTCAGATGTTCAGTTAGTCATTCAGAGAGTTATCCAATTATTCACGAGTAAATTTTTCATTAATTTATTTATTCATTAATAGGTACTTAAGGTGTTTTAATGTATAAGGTGTTCTACAATAAAACATTAATAAACTGAAGGTTCAGTATCAGATATGTTAAAATGTTGAGAGTTCATGTTACCAAACATAACATATTCGAAAGCGTGAATTGCTTGTGGAAATTCGTGCAGAAGTATTTTGAACAGGTTAAATTTATTTTCTGGGTTCTATAAACAAAGTGTCGGTTATATTTTGTCTATCATTGCAATCACTAAAAAATCAACCTTATGTTATACGTATATTTTGGCATTCTCTTTAATATAAACGGAAAAATAGAGTCAACCCATTTTTTCCAGACAGAATCCTCAAAAGCGATTAAAGAAATTGTTTAAATTCTTTGCAATGTTTTTGTTTTGACATGCGTACTTTTTCGTCACGCAAATAAATCATTTGCTGCTGTCTGTATACTATATTATGTATACCGGTAGTTAAAAGCACTACCAATATGTTTTTGTTATTTGGTGGTTCAAGATAAGAATATTTGGCGGGAAAGGCTTCAAGAAAGCTGTCACACTGTCAACATGTCAAGATAAAGGTAAATTCTGATTACTGTCAAAGAATTTTATATCAGATGAATCGTTTCCATTTCGTACTTTTATTGAGCAACACATATCAGACGGGTAAAAACAATGAGTGCAACTCGTTGATGGTATTGTTTTATGTTATTGCATTTTCCGAAAAGATACCGGGTTTAATTTTAATTTTTATTTTATTATCCTTAAGCTCATTTGTCAAGAATTCTAGACAGGTTACAGTGATATTAATCTCGCTTTCGGAACATACATGCAATCAAAAACAACATGACGTGCAGACGGATTTAATCTGTTTAAAAACAAAAACACTTGATGAACTAAACCAGTATACGTAAACAATTAATCTGGGGTTTTTTACGACGGATTGGGAAGCTTTAAAGTAAAATCTTTTACAAAATAAAATGAAATGCACATTTTAAGCACTTATTTACATCTTTTCTTTAAAGCAATCTGCATTTGCTTTTAGAAATTTGATATATATTCACATTCGTGTTTGCCGAAATTTCTCTTTTAACTAACACTATTTTTCAGTTAAATATGCAATATGTCATTGAGCGAAAGTCGGAGCTTTCAATTACTTAACAAAACAATAATTTCATTTTACGTTTTCTGTGAAATATTGTTTGTTTCAAGTGTCTATTATCGTTATTACTTGGCCTATTGCCTTTGTTTAAATAGTGTGTATTTGTAATTGGAAAAGAGGAGTGTCTTGCTTTCAAGTAAATGAAGGGTTTTAAATGTTAAACGATGCACAGGTGAATGGTAATTATCTTCAACGAATGTGGTGATTAAGAAGGAAATATGTAATTAAATGAACAAAATCAGCCATTTCCCTTTAAAGTCCACAGGAAGTCATAGATCTTTATCATGCAATTTAGTTACGGAATGTGATTCCACTATGGTGCAAAAATTGATTTTTTCCACAGGAATGGCGGTGGTAAGACACTATATTTTTTATCAGTAATTCTAATTATAATGACAATTGACTAATTATTGAGCGGTGATGGCAATCTATGTATAAAACTGTTAGCTATGATTTTATTATCATGACAGGTCTTTTGAAAATGCATCATATATCACAGATTTAAACTGAATATTAAATCTAAAATTTTGAAATGCTATGTTGTAAATATTTAATCAAGCCTATCTCACCAAAGCAAAATCTAAAAGTCTCTTTTCCGT